TTTTTTTTAAAGAAAAAAAGGAACAGAGCTGCAGCAGCTAAGCTTCAGTCTGTAGGCAGAAACATTTTCTTGTAATTTTGTTTCCTCCTTTCCATTAGGAAACAACTCCTTAACTCCTTCCTAATGGGAAGGAGATGTGTGTTGTTGTTAGTTACTGTGTGTTTTGATCTGTCCCCTTTTCATGGAGAAGATAAGTTCTTGTGAAGTCATCTTCCTAACTGATATTAATAAATGTTTGCTTGTAGGTATTTAGGGAAAGCCTTCCAGTCAAGGTTCAGGCTTTGGCCAAGCCTTGGTCCTGGCTGTCTGCGAATTATGTGTGGATATTCTCAGTTCAGTCAGAGAGAAAATGGAGAGTTTCTAACCAGGCAGAAGCCTGGGAAACAGCTGAGAAGGGATGTAAATAATTCTTTATCTCTCTTGTTGTTCATATTGTTTATAGATAAGTTCTGTCACTGAGCATGATTCACTGCACACCAATGGTGGGAAATGTTTTTACTCTAGGACCAATAGAATTGGTCTGGACGATATTCTGTATTGTATTTATTGCATTTGAAATAAATCAGAGTTCTACTCTCAAGCCTTCTGAATTGGAGTTCTTTCATACTGTCCTGCCTTAACAGAGTCAGATTTGCCATCAGACCCACTGTTTCTATACTAAAAATGCAATCAAGTCACTTTGACTTGCTGATTTAATCTTATAAAAGCTGGACTTCCATTCAAGGTAAACTTGGAAACCTTTCCTGGGAAACATTCTCCAGGTTCTTGCTGTGAAATGGGAAGATTCCTCTCCACAGGAGGAATTTCTGCTGGAAGCTGCCAGACACCTGAACAATCCATGATCACTTCATAAGGACATTAAGAAAGCGTGTTGTTGAATGTGTGATAGAGTAAAACACCATATAAAGAAATACTGTGTCTTGAAGTGCATAAAAACATCTTGTTTCTCTCAATAAACTTCTCAGTATCACTGTGGGTCTGAGTCCATTCCTTTGTCATTACATGCATACACACACTAGTAAAGAACTGTTATTACTTTTCTCATATCTTTGCCTGAAAGCCCTTTAATTTCAAAATTAGAATAATTTGGTGGGAAGGGGGTGTAGTGGTTTTGGCTTGCCAATTGGACTTGACAACCCTCTGGAATTATGTGTCTTGGTTTAACACGGAATGGAATTTTCTCAGAAGGAAGAGGGTCAAGCCAGTCAGTGATTGTGGTTGGATATTGACATTGGGCTGACCAGTTGAAGGCTGGACACGCCTCTGAGAACACAGAGGGGTTAAAAGCCAGAACTCCCAGGAGAACTGTCTCTCTTTGGTTCTGGTCAGAGTGCAATGCAGACTCTTCCTCCCCCTCAGCCAGGTGGCTGGGTGGGAGAGGGGAAGCCCATGGCCTGACTGAGGTAAGTCCAAAGGGTGGAAGGACTGGAACCAGGCTGGCCCCCTGCAGATGGAAGGGTGGAGAAAAATCTGGGATGTCTGCGTTCCCCCCCCAGAGTCTCTCTGGAGAGAGGGGGAGACGGTGGCAGTCTGTCAGCAGTGCACCGCGGGGAAGGAGAAGAGCGAGGAGGCAAAGGAAAGTGCCCAGCATAGGAGCCAGAGGTCTGGGCAGAGAGTCCGACTGTCCGTCTGGGGAATTTAGATTTTTAAACCCTTCTTGGATGATGAAAGCTTTGTGAAATATTACTCGTCCTGGATTTGAAAGAGAAGAAGAGAGACAGTCTGGGACCCGAGATGTTAGAAGGAGAAATTCTAGGTGGGAGGAGATTAATGGAATGGCTTTTGGCTGGACTTTTTCTTCTTAACCATAGACTGAACAAATCCTCGTCTCCAAGAGAGACTACATTTTAGGGGGATGTCTGGTGAGCCAAGAGACTTGTTTCAGTGACTACCAGCACAGGAGTGGAGTGAACAGAGAAGAGTTGAGGGTGTGGTGATGTCCAAGTTGTGTCTCACCGCGGTTCGTTGGAATTGGGGGAGGAGGTTCAATGTAAATAATTTTTCCCCCAAAGGCCACAATGAACAAAGGATGAGCAAGAGATTGGTAGGAAACATATCCAGGACAGCTGACCCTAACAGACCAAAGGGATATTCCCAGAGTCACAGAATGGCTGAGGTTGGAAGGGACCTCGAGAGGTCTGTAAGGACTTAAAGAGCACAGTTGCCTGTCCCAAACACTGTCAAGATCACAGTGGAAGGAACTTGCCATAAGATAAACCACAGCAGGAACTTGAGATAAGCACAGAAGAGAGACATTTGTGACAGAAAGGTGCTCATTCCAGGCCTGGCAGAGGTGAGATCTGGTTAGCACAGGCAAACAGGACTGAATACATATTCCAAATGAAATTCATTGCCTCTGATGTTATAATAAAATAAACATAGTATATTAACAAAGCAACTTTGATATCTCTCCCCGGCCTTAAAAAGGCCATCACAATGAGCAAATAGTTCCCTATATGTGTGGAAATAGATACAGGGTAAAGTACAACATACATTTGATGATTATCAGGGACTTTCTGTAGCCCAATACAAAAATGTTTTAGAAAAAAATTGTAATTCCAGCTTCTCTCTCTCACCCCACACTTTGTGCCAAAAGATATGCTGGTTTCTAAGTAAGCTGGTGGGAGAATAAGCCCCACTCAATCACATTATGAGAGATTTCAGGCTGGAGTTACCTGTGTCAGAGACTGGGAAAGCTGATCTATTTTGAAACATCTTGGGAGCTTGGAATGTGTGGTAGGGGGTGGGTCAGACCTTGCTCTGGTGACGTGGTGCCCTGTCCCCATACACACCAGCTCCACAGACAGGCTGAGAAAGTTGGGGATGTTCTGGGGAGACCTTGCAGCAGCCTTCCAGTGCATTAAGGGAACCAACAAGAGGGCTGGAGAGGGACTTTTTGTCAGGGCATGTACTGACAGGACAAGGGCAAGTGACCTTAAGCAGAAGTTCTACGACAGGGAGCTGCAACTAATCATTCTATGATTCTACAAAAAAATATGCAAACATAAAGTGTATCTAGGTATAAATAAAATACATTTACAAAATATAGTTGTACATTTCTTTATATATAATTCCTCTGCATAGATAAAATGTATCTATATATATCCAATATCTATACCTATACAATTGTATTTCGCACGCGCACGCGCACGCGCACACACACACACACACACACATATATATATATATATATATATACACACATATATATACACACATGTAGGGATAGTGTTTGTGGTGGTTGGGGTGGGGCTGTGGCCCAGCCTCATCCCTGACTGGCTCCAGCTGTGCAGGACAGGTGAGCAGCATTGAAGGGAACAGCCATGGAGTGCCCAGGGGCACTGACCAACCCCAGAGGGGGCAGAGGGCACACAGGTGCAGTGCATCAACATCAGGGCTATAAAAGGCTGGGCTGAAGGACAAGAATGCTAGATGCTTGAAGACTTCTGAAGTGGAATGGTGTTACTCTGTATGGGTTGAAGCTTTCTGATATTCTATGGTGTTACTCTGTGTGTTGTGGCTGTCTCAACTATGGCATACACACACATATATATATGTTGGAACTCTGATGGCTGAAGCATTTGAGCTTTCTGAATTTAAGGGTGCCAACCCTCAAGTAAATACCTCATTTGACCTGAGACCTTGGAAAAGGCTTCCAGAATTGAGTGACAGCACAGAAACAGTGTGTGTGTAGTTTGGATAGTATTGTGTGATCTCACAGGGTGAAAAAACTTAGATTTGGGATTTTAGTGTATGGTGATGTATGGGATCCAAGATGGAGAAATTTGGATGTGGGTTAGATGGGTTTTTTGCACTTTCTTCTTTATGAATTTGGGTGGTTTTCTCTAACTGGGAGAAAGATGTCTATGTTGCAGGTTTTGAGTGATCACAATTGCATTAAAAGTGTAAATAATACAGGTGTCAACTGTCTGTTGGGTAATTGGGACTTAAGTAGCCTTGCTTGACTTGTTAGAGACAGCTCACATCTCGTGAGTTTGTAATAGATAAGGATAATAAACTTCAGAGTGAGGCTTCAAAAACATGGTCTGAGTTTTATTTGCCCTGACCCTGGAGCAAGAAAGAGCCTGGTATTCCAATGTATATACACACATGTACCTATATATATGTATATATATACATAAATGTTTCATTTTTCTCTATGAACAAAATGAAATGGGCAGCCAATCTAGCATGGTGGTGCATTTCCTCCCCTATGTCCCCCCTGCCCCCATGCTGCACTATGATCAGACCAATGCCTATTAGGCCTTGGCCTTGATGGACAGCACCTGGGCTCAGCTCCTCCTGAGCTTATCACTGCTCTGAGGAACTCATGCTGTCTAACGAGCTCCTGTATTTTATGACTAAAGCCCACTGTGTTGTTGTCCTATAAACAGTGGTCCAAAATGGGACCTTTTGAGCCTTTCTGGACTGCAGAGGCTGTGGCCAGCAACCTTCATCTGAGTGGGGCCTCTCAGCAAGTGAACTCTCAAGTTTACTGCACTCATAGAATCCCTGAAGGATGATGAATACTTGGCTGAGATCTCCACTCTTCAAGGCTCAACCCTAGGCTTGTTGAGAAGATGCAAAGTGAAGTGACTACTTCACTACCTTTGAGGGGAAATTTTTTGCAGGTACCTTGTACAGACTCTTTATGTCTGTGTGCATGCAAGTGTGCATATGCTATAGCAAGTGTGGGAGAAATGCTTGTCACAACTACAGCTGCTCTGAAGCTGCACAGGTAAATTTGGCCATAACAGAAACCAAATGGCTAGCCTAGTTTGTAAAGAAGTTCCCAGGTGACATTATCCTGTTGGAAAATGTATCCGTTTAAAATTTTGTATAACTTTAGCCAGAGTTGCTCACTTTTGCCCTGGAGAAAGAGAATTGAAGTTTCTTTCCAGGGCATTGTTTATCTATGTGAGGCCTGATGAACTCAGTATATCAATAGACTGGGAATAGCCACAAAGAGGTAAAGGCCATCAACAGAATATCAGCAGCCATCTAGCAACATCTGCCCCGGGACTTTGCCTCTGTCACAGTTGGAGACACATCCTGAAAATCCTCATAAGAAAATCAAGGAATGAAAATCTAAATAATATCAGAAGCAAAGAAATTAGTTCCAATAGGACACCAAATATAAGAACTTTGCAACCTAGTGCCAATCAATGCTGACCCAATTCATTTCTATGAGTTTTGACTGTATAAAACATCTGAAAAATCTTGTAAAAACAGTGTGTGATGGAATGATTCTCTCTGCACACCTGGGGTATGTGTGTGGATGAGATGGTTTCTGTGGTACATCCTGGCCAGATAATAAAGTAATGCCTAGATTCTCTAACTTTAAAAATATTGGAGGGTGTCTTAGGTTGTAATGCAAGATGTAACCAAAAGTATGCATACTCTTACCATCTGTTAAAATCAGGTGGGGCAGTTTTCTTTATCTCTTCCAGGACCCATCCTCCCTCCAGGGTGATATCTTCTGCTTAATGGGCCATTAAGTGTCACTGCATGGCTGATAAGAATTACATCATCCCATTGTGAGATGCTCCGCCCAGGGGAAGGAGCCAAGAAGTCCTACCTGGATATAAGTTGAGATGTGGAACACCACATCAGCCTTTTCCCACTGGATTCCCAGTGGAAGACGAGACCCATCTACACCATCACTGGACCTTTAGAGGAAAATTCCACCCTTCTACCGGATCAGAGCTCCAACAGAACCACAGCTGTCACTGTAGGAGGGCTGCAGCCACCATTTTTTGTTTGTTTGTTTGTTTTTCCCTGCAGCTGTGATTCCAACATCTTTAAGCACTTTAATATTTTGAAGTACGATAGGGCTGTAAGTGAATTGCTGTTTAGTAATTGGTCACCTTTACTTCTGAAGGGGGTGGGATCTCGACAGGCACAGGGTCGGAAGTGGGATCAGGAAGGGACTGGTGCCATGGGGAAGTTGGATTTCCTCAGCCCCAAGGCCATTGCCAACCACATCAAGTCCAAGGGGCTGCAGAAGCTGCTCTGGTACTGCCAGATGTGCCAGAAGCAGTGCCGCGATGAGAACAGCTTCAAGTGTCACTGCGCGTCCGAGTCCCACCAGAAGCAGCTGCTGCTGGTTTCTGAAAATTCTCAGCAATTCGTGGATTACTTCTCTGAGGAATTCCAAAAGGATTTCCTGGAATTGCTCAGGAGGCACTTTGGAACAAGGAGAGTCCTCAATAATATTGTGTACAATGAGTACATCAGCCATCGGGAACACATCCATATGAATGCCACGCAATGGGAGACACTCACTGATTTTACAAAGTGGCTGGGGAGAGAAGGGCTTTGCAAGGTAGGTGAGACTCCTAAAGGCTGGTACATTCAGTACATCGACAGGGACCCAGAGACCATTTGCAGGCAGCAAGAACAAGAGAGGAAGAAGAAACAGAACCTTGATGATGAAGAAAAAAATGCTAAATTAATTGAACAACAAGTTAGAAGAGGTTTGGAGGGGAAAGATGTGGAAATGCCAGTCTATACTGAATTGAACAGAGAAAACAAAGAAGAAAAAGTTAAATTTAAATTAAACAAAGGAGCAAGTACTTCAGCTGCAGCATCTTCTAAAACAAGTGTCCTTGGACAAAATGCACTGAAGATGGTGGAGGGTGC